CAAAAAGCAGTGATCCAATGTATGGTATCAGATCGACCGGTGGATGAAAGAAGGAACGGGATCAGATCGCGTGCGCGCCGGTATGAGCATTCGAGGAGTTTGCACGCGTAAAATGTGATTATCAGGCTAATGACGTATGCTTCCCGTCGTATTCGTCCTCCGAATGCAGTGCAAGCTGTTTATATCTGTGCTGGACGCGCAACGACAGAACTAGTCCAACGGTGATAAACAAGACCAGAGTAAACATGAACAAAAACCACAGGAGTTCCGCTTCGATTGCCAACCAAAACAACCATTGAGGCCAACGATCAAGAGCCATGAGGCGTTCGGCTACCTCCGGTTTGAGCAATTCAGTGGCGATTCGTGCAAAACTCCCGTTGTGCGGTTTAGGTGCGATTTGAAGGAGGCGACAGAGGAGTGGATAGACATCCACTGAATTCACGACCTCCACCGTCTCTCCGGCGCGGAATGAGGGGCCGCTTGCGATGAAGAACGGATGCATTTCGGTGAAATTCGGGGAGAATCCGTGATTGCCGGCTATATATATGGGAGATGAGGATGCGAAAAGAAAAAATGCAATACCTTAAATGGTGCACTTTAAAATGGGGACTAAGAGGTACTATTTCTAACATGTAACTGACGGGTTGAATTTCAACTAACCAGTAGTGAAACAGACTGCTCAGCTCACATTTGTTGACTAAAACGATATTGTCGTCGTGGATGGCGGTGCCAAGCTCCTTTTGGCGTGCAAGTAGTGGGATTTTCCATTGACGGAAGAATTCCTCTAAAAGTGATCTCGTTCGTCATTAGTGCTGCAGTTTCATCGTTGTTGCGATGGCTACTCGTACACCCTGGTCCATGCCTTCACATAACCCGGATTTTGGTTCACTGGATGTCACCCCGCTGCCGGTTTGCTCCATATACCCTCACCTTCGTAAAGTGGTCCAATACTTATCCCACTACCATATGCTTGCCTTGGCGCTATGCGGAAAGTCCTAGCTCGTGAGGCTAGCCATTATCCTCTGTACAGTTCGTAACTGGCATGGCAATGGAAGAGGAGCGGGGCTATATCATAGTCAACTGTCAATCACGCAAGTCTGTGGCTGTCACTCATAGCGAAGTGGCACTAGCTGCTGGCATCCTGAAGTCATGGGGGCGGAACCGGGCAGGGGTCCGCTGGGAGGCGCACCACTGACGAGACTCAGAAGGTCGAAACGCAGGCGTCTGGTGCTTTTCCAGACTAGCCTAAGCTTGCTGATTGGGAGTGAGGATGACGAATTAGCTGAACCATTCAGTTCCCCATGAGTCCCAACCCTTGTCCGGTGGGTTACACGTTCACGCTCATTTGTTTGTCCACACTGTAATCTTTGTTCCACGCACTAAAGCGGATATCGCCGTATCTATAGCATCGTACTAATGTGGACGCATACCAAGCGATTGTCAGGCCACTCGTTGACCATAGACTACGGTCTTGTATGTGTGTGTCTGACGTTCACCGATAAATTTTGCTCGCTTTGTGATTGGCCAGTGAGTTTGCATAAAGTTCCACTCCTACACGGTCACGCGCTTTCTCCTCGCTAGTTTACTTGCATTGTTGTTGACGGTGATATACCGGGACCCTGAACAATTGAGGTTTGCTCCACTTTACTTAACTGTATGCATTTTATTAGTACCGCATATATTGTGATCCAAACGCGTTTTGATTTCGGGATCATTTGGCTGTGCGTCATTCGACGTTCGACCGGTGAACATTACAGTGTATCATGGGCAACTTTTGACCTACCACATCCACGGTGATTGAACGAAGCCCGTGCCGTTTACCCACATGCATCAAGAAGTTGGCTAACATCCATCCAAAACCATAGCGTATGTGAAGATATTTAAGTAGGTCAGTTGAGTGTGAGAAGATAAGCAAAAGGTAGTTGGACTGAGTTGTGGTACCTAGATAGAAAGAAATACAAAGAAAAAAGGAAGATAGGGTAATCGGAAGACTTGTAGCTGCAGCTGGATAAAAATGAAAGCATTGTTCACATCGTCGCTCGCCGGTGATAGAAAGGATGAGACGTCTGCCTTGCAATTCAAGTATCACCGATTATGGAATTGCGTAGATGAAAGTAACCTTGTAGTATTCCTACCCCGCGCGCGACTAGTGGTGGTCGGTCACGTGGCACCCAAGTGTCGGACTGCTGATGTCTTATTTGCCCTTTCTTTCTACCATCGCTTCATCATTTCACACTATCATCGCGTTAAAGTTAGGCTTCAACCATCATCCAGTAGACCGGATGATGTGATCATACAAATTAAGTCCTGAAAACCTCATATTAGGTCGGGAAGAAGTCGATGGCTTGTGTCTCAGAGATTAGTTGTGAAAGACATAAGTAAATGAGTCAGAAGTTCAGTTCGATCTGGGAAAAGCACGAGCGTCATATAAGATCATGAACACGGACCTTTGTTTTGAAACTACCCACACCAAGATGGAAACCTAGGCCGCAACACACCTGTAGTTGAACGAGGTAACAGTGAAGCAACTGTAATGGTAGTAAACACACCACTAAAGATATTTCATGCTTACTAGAGCTGCGGTTGGCTGATACAAACAAGCTGCAGCGGGAATCTGCACAATGACACTTCAAGCTAGAACCGCCCTTCGCTGCACTGCGCACCAGACTATGGAAGTAGTAGTTACGAATGGGGTCGACCAAGCTAGTTCGCTTCACCTTATGTATATAGGGTCAGATTAGTAATATGGGCTCTCAAACAAAACCTGTTCTCGAAACTGGTAGTCATGAAGCCGGAGCACTCTGTTACCATTGTATTATACCAAGTTTCTGTCACTTCGTAATGATAATTAGTAATTTATTCCGAGACTAACCATAGGGAGTCATTCATTATAGTTGTCTAAATAAGTCTGGGGTCGAATCCCATTTTGACTGATACAACCTCAGTGATCTAGGTAAGGATGATGAGAAAACGCTCGCACTCATAAATGCTTAGCTTTCGAGGAGTTGAGGGAATCCATGTCTCCGAAACACGCGCGCAAAACGTGCGTGCATGCATCGTCAGTTACCTGGTCCATTTTATGGTCATGATGACTGCATCTATCCGGTACCACTATTGAGGCTGAGTCGGTAACCCAGAAAATATCATACTTCCATTATCACTCGTCATTAAACACGTTAGCTAAGGGTGGAAAACACCTCAGCTAATGTGCCGCAATTCAAAAGACCAGAAAAAATGCAACAGACGCATGCTGGCTGAGTCAACAGTAACGGGTGGACATCGTACCAGAGAGCTAACAGCCGGCTACTGTGCCGCAAAAAGAATTACATTAGGTCTAATAAATGAGATCCGGAAGGGGAGGGATAAAGAAACTCACAACACAAACGCCATTGAGGGCGGCTCCTAGCCACGTCAACAAGTGTATCTAGCCAAACCTGTTCATCGTCCTTCGGTCTCCAACCAGATAGCCTATAGATTCCAACCGACGTCAAGTTCGAAGTAAGTGCATTTATTCCTCTTGACTAAGTTATGGCTTGACCACCTCCTCTCTTCTTCCATCCGCACACACGGCGCGCAAACAACACACGTCGTGGGAGCAGGTGGACTGGCATGCGCAACACGTGGCCCAGCCAGCGGAGCCTGGTGCGTGAAATAACGGTGCTGAACGGTTCGATGATTCTTCCTACGCCATAAACAAGGCATCGAACACATCCACTGCTCACACGGTGTTCCCACCAGATATGAGCCAAACTGCGAAGGCACCGGTGGTCAAACGTAAGTAGCCTCTTTATGTCTCTTTCTTCAAGACATGTTGGAACAGGGAAGTCAGCGCTCTGAAGAGAACCTCACCCATTCTTAAAAAGTACAGGACGGAAGGGAATCTAGAGCCAGCAGCACAAAAACGAAGGAGGGCTATGATCGCGCTTCAGAACGACAGTGCTAACCACCTAATGTCAGTTGTGAAAAAATTACTTGCCCCGATTCTCGATCGTCGCCTCACTGTAAAACGGGAATCTCGGATTAGGGTAGAGTAAGCAGGTTTCCGCCCACGATGGGGCTGTAGAGACCACATATTCACCCTGCGGCAGGTGTTAGAGCAACGCGATGCATACCGCAGACGGACACTAAACTGTGTTCCTTGATTTCAAGAGTGCGTTCGATTCAGTCGATCGATGCATTCAGTTCGAAATAATTGCGCGGAAAGCTGTTCTCATACAATATGTGAACAGTTTACCCGCACTATATTCGAACAACATGTAATGGATCTGCCCAGACCTGGTCGTGTTAGTTTGGAGGAAATTTACGCGTAACCTGAGCACGGCCCTATTCACGCACATATTTGGGTGACACGCCGAGTCCTCAAAAACAGACAACGATGCACACACGACGCGCGGGACTTAAACGTACAAGCAACACACGGCTAGAGCGGCACACACGATCATGTGATTACGCGATTCCCAACCATCCGCAAGATGAGACAAGAGAAGACGAAGCGGATCTCTGAGCATTCGTTTACGACTCACAAATGTCGAATCACATTTGGTACAATGCTTCATTTTCGGGGTGAAATGAACCATCACGTAGGGTTGGTGGTTTACGAAAGAACATTGTTCACTTTAGCTCAGTTGTGCCCCGAATCCGAGTGGCTGGATCCTGCTACGTAGTGGGCAGGAAGTGAACTTCGCGTCTCGCAACCCACGCGATGGATTTTGTGGAGCGTTTTTGCCGGGATACTTGGCTTTCCCGCAACACAACATAGGCCGCGTCAGGGACCATGGTGACTTACCGACAAAAAGTGACATTCGTCAAATTTGTAAGAGATTTCATTTTTGTCCAACTGTGTCGCGGACCCGATCATGGGGTGATCATCGTGGAATCGCGCGATGCAGGCATTGTGTTGCCCGGTGATTACTCGAACGATATCTTCTTGCTGTTTACTAATGTTGGGGCGGCCCAGTCAATCCTGAACAGCCTGTCTAGAATGGTCTCATTATTGGGCATGTGTTGCACAACTTCGAAATGCAAAATGTTGTTGCAAGACAGCCAGCCACTTGACGACCCTATGACTCTTGATAGTGAGGAAGGAGGTAGTTGATCAATTCATGTACCTTGGAAGCCACATCAACAACAGTGGGCGTGAAATCACGGAAGTCAGTTCAAGTATTGCAAAATCCGGAATTGCCTCCTTGAACCTGCGACATCTTTGGCGTCAGAAAGGGGTTTCCTCGGTCTGATAAGCCGTGTTTACAATGCCACAGTGAGGGTCATCCTACTCTATGGTGGTGGAACTTGGCTTCTTCGATCTGAGGATCTGACGCGCCTTCAAGTCTTTTATCATGGTTGATCGTGGAGCATTGCTGGTGTCGGATTGCATCAGCTTGTCCGCAACGATCATGTGCTAAGCAGAGATAACGAAGCTAATTCCTTAGAGCAACAGATGGGACTGAAAAGGTTGCATTGACTTGGGTACGTACTTCGCATGCCCGGTCACCGCTTACCGAGGAAAGCCTTGTTTACTCTGCCAGGAGTAGGGTGGCGCAAGGCTCGAGGTGGACAGAAGTTGACTTGGCAGCAGGAAATGTAGTCACTGACGACCTAACTCGGTGCCGTCGGTCCGTCTCGCTTTCCAGGCTGGAGTTTACTTGACTCGTCTTGTGCTTAGCTCGATACTTAACAAGACATGGCTCGCAGTGGACACCAGTGGCACGTCTGCTGCCGTCTCTTATTCGGACTGCCTGTTTAAAATGTGTTTGGTGCTGAGTTATCTGCGGGGTAGTGGCTGATTATGACGCGGTGCAGTGAAGGCCGCAAGGAAGCTGTCTCGCTGATGCCACCTTACCTTTGCACGATAGCCAGCTGTATGTGACGGTATATTGTTGACAAGATGTGGGTGCCTTGACTCTGAATGTTTGTTTGGGGGATTAAGATTGTATGCCTATTAGTTATCCATTATTATTATTATTATTATTATTATTATTCTTTCCGTAGGTCACCTTGGTTGTGTGACAGCAAAACATCAGTTCAAATGGCCGATGGAATGCTATTGATGATGATGATTGTGCGGGATCTGAACCATGCAAAAATCATCATTATCAGCGGTATAGGTACAGCGGTAATTCGAAGGGACCCTTCGCTGCCATACAATCATTTTGACATAGGGGAATAAGAATAAGAAGAGATCTAGTGTAAAATCTAAATGTTCTAAGCAAACTTCGGAGTAGGGTGCAAACATTTTGATCACAACATCTGGTCACAGTCAGCTGGCTAAAGTGTGAAAATCGAACGGCATCACACACGGTTTCCTTGTGGCTTTGCTGTCCAGCGCCGTAATCAATCTCGCCTTACCAATATAAAAGAAGAGAGGTAAAGGGACAAAAAAGGCAGATAATTCAGTGTTAGAATAGTTCAGGCAGGTAATCGGACAAGGTGACGCTTGGGATGAATCCAAGATAGATTGAATAGCTGGAATACGAGTAAGACATGGTGCAAATAGAGCCCCACTTGAAAGACGGCTGCTGAGCTGACACTCGATGTACCAATAACAGAAATCGACTTTAGCTCAGCTAAAAGATCCGCTTAGGTTGCGCAGCGTTAAATAGCAAACAAAGACAACAGGTAAACCTGGTACTCATACACGAAAGCATGTAGTCTGAATAGTAACTTAGCTCCACGTTGGTCAGATAACTGAACCGCGGTGGGTTATGACAGTTTTCGTCATGAGCTGATCTGCTCGCTCCGGGCGTCAATTATGACCAAAGTTGGAATAAGAGAAGCCCATTTTTATCGCACAAATTATTCCAATGCTGTTCCAGTGATAGCATGTGTGAGAACATCATCGATTTCATCGTATAAGATAGAGGAATTCCGCGGGATTCAATGTCACGCTTGGTGTGCAATGTAAAAAGGCCGGTAAGCAGTATCGACGCTTCGCTGCCGTGCAAGCAGTACCGGGTGGGTGTGAGCTGAGAATACTGCCAGGGTCTCCTGGAACCTACGTAAGTTCGAACCCGCGCCCTCGGATTACTGGGCAGGCTTGTTATCGCTAAGGCTACGGGCCGGCCCAGTACAATATGATCATAAATGTCTGCATCGGATGTTTTAACCGAAGTAGAGGTGACCATCTGATGGAAGAAGAGCATGTGGTTTCTGTTGTCTTCTTGAAGTTGGACGCAGATTTTATACGAAAGCGCTTTAAAATGTCCAAGCTGATCGCTTGTTCTTTCGGTGTTCAATTTCACGCATTAAAGGTGCAAGCAAGGCTGTGAAATTGTTCATTGTACAATAAACGTATAATCAATAAAGGCGGTGGATGTATTCATGATAGTGAATGAGTAAATCAATTTGGTGGTCAGAACAGTGAAGTTGTTTCGCCTGTCGACAAGCTTTACGACTACACAAGATGGCTAAACTTCGACTCGTTGGTCAGTGCTGTGGGTTCCATATCACGGTCAACCGTGGGCACTATGGAACGGTGTAATGTGACGCGCGTGAATCGGGTATAACGTGGCACGGCACTGCGCACGCTTACCTCTTCGGAGCATCAACGGCCGCCACCACACACTGTGGTGAGAATGACGATGACACCTCCTGGACGCTGTGCGCCTCATGTCTGTTCAATCAGTTCAGTAATTGTTTAGGAGGAAAATCGTCAGAGAAATGAGAGCAAGAAAGACTGGGATTTACCGATAGGGTGTGTGTCTTGTTTGTGAACAATGTACCACAAGGGATCCGGGACCAAGACAATCGGAGGCATTCTAGAAGTGTTCAGGCTGAAATGCAGATCCTTGGGGACATCGTGAAGCCAATACACGTGAAGGTGCTCGTGCGCTCCATGAAGCTTATCGTAAACCTCCTGTGCTTTACCTAAAACAAAAAGAGACAATCACGAGGTGATACGAGGGGAGAGCGTGGGAAGAGTATAGTCGTCCGCCTGTACCACACGATGACAGGAGGCAGAAATGTCCAAATAATCTTCTCGTAACAGCGAGTTATTTCGAAATGTTGTTTTGTAGGTGATAAAAATTGCATCAAGAGAATTCAAGCAATGGAGACGACAAAATAGAACGAATGAGGTGTTTTTGTAAACACAAGTGCGAAGGCTCGCACATTCAAAATCTTTACACCGGATGCAGTCACACAAATCGGGAGGAACAAGGTAATGACATTGATCGTTATCATCAGCAGAGGACAGAGGACGGTGTGTCATGCTCACAACAGCCGATAGAGCGTCTGCCTACGGAATGTCGCGAATGGAACACACGGTTTTTACTCGTTGCACATATCTATGGTATCTGCCTACACAGTTACACCATCGTTTCACTGGACTAGTGGGCTTAGATGCAATATTAGAAGACTCGATAGAAAAGAGCGAAACCTCGGTGGACAGTAAGGGAGGAAACTGTTTTTGAGAACATCCATCGCAGCTAGACCTAACCAACCAGCCAGCATACATCCAGGAAAGCTGTAGACTGTCATTTCGTCTTATTGGGACTCATCAGTAGCGAACACCCGGGGAATCCTGTCGGATTCTAACCCATGACTTTAGTCTTACGAGCCAGCAACTCATACCACTGAGCCATGGGCGACGGCAGCGGACCGCCATGACTGATATCTAACTGCGATATAGCGCGGCTCATCCTCCACTGTCATGCAGGTTATGAACGTGCAGAGGACAGGGCTGGCCACCAGAGCTAAGATTTCCCTTGCAAGCCGCCACCAATCGAGGTGGCGTGTAAGATGCTAAGGCGATTACTGACTAGCAGTGAGTAGTGGGGCGATTTATTGCTTTTCAAATGTCTTGAGACTGGCCGATTGACCGCGATGGTCCTTGGAGTATTGACATCAATTCCTACACTTCGAAACATTGACGGTCGTTCGTAAACGCAAAAATAGATATTCCCTACTACTCAGTATGTACTTGATGCTGCGTTCCCCAAGGACATGGATCTCCCTGACAGTGCCTTTGCTAATGGCAGATCAGTCCCAGCTGCTCTGTTAGTGATGTCAGATGCGTGTATCTCGCCATGCGAAAAAATACAATCATCAAATATCAACGATCGCGCAAGATGAAACCCAGGAAGAATTCCAAAATTTAACAAGGTGTGCTTGACTGCTGCGGTAAATGCAATTCACCGAGTCCGGTGGTATGGTGATCAAGGAATCTACCAATAAAGTAGGCATGTCAGACTGGCCACCCACTGTATATGTAGACCAATAAGTTATGTACGGCTCTCATGACAGCAGGTGTGGTGACCCATGCGACCCTCGAGGGATCTTCGGTACTGCATGCATGCAATGAACAGCAACATCCCAGGTTTCACACCCAGCCGCGGAGTCATCGCTACACCTCAAGACTGCAAGCGATGGTCAAACCGATGGAGAGTGCGGTACCAGAAAGGTTTCCACCTCAAATATCATTGAAGTAAATGAGGTGGTCCAAAAGAAGCCACAATAATGACACGCAGAGGGTGGTTCAGAACCGAGATAAGTAAATGATGCCACGTTATTGAACCCCGTAAGAAGTTGTGAGATGAGGAGAAGAAACGTGTGCCACTCAGTCTAGAAACAAACAGCGTAAAAAGGTGCTGCAGAATGCCAGATTTGCTGACTAGAGGGTTTCACACTGCGGACCGTGATGTAGCTATAGCAACAATAGCCCTAATGGCCAGTTGATTGTTTGGTAGTAATTAAGCAGTTTCCGCCAATTGTCTGCCTGTGCGACATGTTGTCTAGCTCAACGAACACGGTAAATCAGACTATGTAGACCGACCACGCCCACAGACAGCCATTGTGTGGACGCAGCCTGAGAGCACAAAACAAGGGCGCACAAGATGCGCGTGTGAAGATAAAAATGAGAGTAGGATATATGAGAACCTGGTGCACACTGACACATGATTGCGAGCGACATGTTCGGGGGTTGGGAGTACCACTCAATACAGGCGCACCTATATCTCTAACGTGAGAACGTGGCTCCAATGCCGATCAAAAACCCAGACAGACAAGAAAGAGGAGCAATATACATTAAATGCTTCGGTTTACGAGAAGCGTAGTCTATAAAAATCAAAATTCACCCAGAAAACGTCAATAGTGGTAAGAAGGACAAGCATAACAGCGTATTTACCGGAAAACCATACGATGACTGTGTGTGCGCAATGGGAAAACAACTGGGCATGCTTGCGTCAGAGCGGCGCAGGTGATAGTTAGTAGGTGGAAGGGAATGAGCGACATGAATGTAGAAAAAGATGCGCTTCTGAAAAAACAGTGTACTTTCCGCGCTAGCACTAACCAATATAGATCTGGGGCCAGGTCAGAAGCCAGAACACAGTATGAGAAGGGAAGGATGTAGTAAGGCAATTCAGCATGGATCAAATCCGTCTCAAATGGTGTGAGCGAACATCACTGTTTCAGCTGGTAATTGAAATCCGGGAGTTAAGCGCAGTGTCCCTGGTCTGAGCATAAAACGACAAGAGCCGTGGCGATTCAAGTGTATATCTATGTTAGTATGATCATGGTCTTATTCAAGAGTCCAGCGGGAGGTCAAGATAAGTGGGGACGACAATGGGTAGATATGGTTGGCGACATCCGGTTTCGGATTTGCCTGTCCCTGTGGCCAGCCACAGGACGCCTGCGCCTACAGAGGGACCATGGATGGCTTGCGCTGCACCACCCACAGCTCCAACCATACACCCCATAACCAGTGTAAACCCGAAGGAATAAGACCGGGAAGCATGCGGATGGGAACCACGTTTCACCAACGGAGCCGGCCCACACTCATTCACAGGCAAGCACACTGTATTTGGGAATCAAGTGCACACAAGGCGGTGGCTGGACCGTAGTCCGCTCCACACTGAGTGCATGGAACCGCTCTATGAGCCTAGCACGGCCACAAGGACCGTGCACTCCAACAACGACCAACTGTCTCCTGGAGCCAGTATGGACGAGGTAGCGGGTAATAGACAGGTAGAGAAAGAGACAAAGAAAATAACTCGATCAATGCATAATGAAACGGTGACATAAAACTTAAGTTAATGAGCATATGAAATAGGTTGTTTACGAACGAATCCTAGATAAGTTCACGAGGTCAGAAAGTATTCTTTACGGAAATGCCACGAATACAAAAATGTTATGGAAAACGAATACAATTGGCTTAAGCGAGGTGTGCAAGTTAATGGAATAGAGTACAGGTAGACATTTATATGAGAAAGAAAAGCATTTAGGCAAAATTGAAAACCCACCACCTGAAATAAAGTGACTTAGCATGTAAGCACGCGGTTAGTAAATCGAATGCAGCGTACCTACAAACGCTGCGCCGGTTCTGCCTACGTTCTCTGCAGAACCCGTCGTCGCTTCGGTAGTAGTCCCGAGGGGCCTGGCTCATGGCTCACTAGACATTTATTTGAGAAAGAAAGGCATTAGGACAAAACTGAAAACCCACCACCTGAGATAAAGTGACTCAGCATGCAAGCATGCGGTTAGTAAATCGAATGCAGCGTACTTACAAACGCTGCGCCGGTTCTGCCTACGTTCTCTGCAGAACCCGTCACCGCTTCGGTAGTAGTCCCGAGTGGCCTAATGGCTCACTAAGCCTGCCTGACTAAGGCACTCGCGACCGCATGTTCTACAGCACCATGCGCTTGATGTCGATGGAGAACAACCCATCGGTGCTTGCCGCTTCCGCACTTGCCGCTTCTTCTCTGCATGCATGAGGGCTTTCTCATGCACCTCGACAACTGCCTTCGTGATCAGATCTCGCCATGCACCACGATCAACCGCCTTCGATTCCCATGATCTGCAATCAAGATTAGAACGTGTGAGGCTCACTTTAATCATGTCCTGGTATCGTAACTTTGGTTTCCCCACGTGCCGCTTCCCAGTACTCAGCTGACCATATAATAGCTGCTTCAGTATCCACGTCGAATCCATACGGCTCACATGATCCAAACACAGGTGCCTCAGCAAAAGTATGCAGTCGACTGCAAACATCCCACTTCGGCGCAAAACTTCCGTGTCTGCAACTCTGTCGCCCCAGCCGTCGCAGACACTGCTGATGGAACCGCTCGAGATATCGCAAATCCCGACGGTACATCGTCCACGTTTCACTGCCGTATAGAAGAACGGACAGCACCCTGCATTTGTACACCATCAGCTTTGTGCCAATGCTAAGCTGATGGCTGTTCCACACTCGGTACACAAGCTTCCCGAATGCCGCCGCTGCTTTCGACACGCGGATACGCAGCTCACTGTGTATCTGCTGATCAGTCGACATCACACTCCGAAGGTACCAAAAGCGGGAGGTGGTTTCCAATACTTCAACACCAACGCTTAGTCGCGGCAATATTGAAGATTGCACCTCCGGTGAAGGCTGAAAGAGAGACCGTTTTGCGTATGTTGATGGTGAGCCCAAATTTTGCCGCTGTCGAAGCCAGAGCACTAGTCATGTGCTGCAACTCATCCGTGCTGTGTGAAAACAACGCACAGTCGTCAGCAAACAGCAACATACGGATAGTTGTCTCACAGACTAGAGTTCTCGCACCGAAATGACGGATGTTCAGCAACCCACCATCAATACGGTGCTCCACACGAACACCGTAAGAACAAGCAGCATCCAAAGCACAGGACAACATTGCATGAAGATATATACTAAACAGGGCAGGAGCTAAGACACAGCCTTGCTTCACACCAGAGACAACTGCAAAGTCATCCGAGGTCTCTCCACTCAGCTGCACCCTCGCTCGCATACACTGTGCAGACATTCAATTAAACTTACAAACTTACGCGGGCAACCAAACTTACCCAACACCAGCCACAATGCTTCGCGGTTCACCGTATCAAATGCCTTAGTGAAATCAACAAAAAGCGAGTAC